CATGTTTAAAGAGGGCTCTTCTGCACATTTCCCTTGAAGTGAGCTTTTTCAAACGTCATTTCCTTCTCTGTGCATATGCTCAGAGAAGATCCTTGTAACTGTAACTCCAGGCTCCCTCAGAGACTTTGTCACCACAGTGAAATTGTTGTGTGCCAAAGGTCCCATTGCCTCCCAGCAGGTTTAAAGCTTTCAGTGGGGTCAAGCCATGGCTGCTGTAAGTACATGTTGCCAGACCTCAGATTCACTTACAGAGCACTTCTCTAATCTCCAGAGCTGTTCCTGCTCCTCAGAGCTGCCTGTCCTCATGCTTACGGCAGCATCAGGGCCATCTTCCAGGCAGGTGATGGACAGCAGGTCTCTGCACTGGCTCACCACTGCTGTTTTGCAATTCTTTTAAGGCAAAGCTTCATACCTGCCTGCAGATAGGCGCAGGGGAAGAGACACTTTTCAGCATGTCTGTTTGATCAGAGTGCAAATGGTGAACAGGTGATGTGTCTCAGGGGCAAGGAGGAGCATGAAAAATAAAGTGAATTATGAGCCAATGACCAGAATTTTTTATATTTGTGGTTTGGAAGAGGATATATCAAACTTGGAAAAAACTTCAAGTATAGTTACTTTTGACATTGTCTTTCTCAAGGATCAAGAAGGAAGTGTACCTCAGTTGTCAAGAAATTAGTCTTTCATAGAAAATAAAGCACTAATTTATTTGTACCACAGTTTTGTAGGGAATTGGAAAGTGAAAGCAGAGGTGAGACAGGTCTGGAAGAGAAATTATTTTGTTACTTATTTAAGAAATAAAACAAACATTTTCTGTGTTTGCTTGTAAGAATAAGCAAATAGTTCAGAAGCATTGGTCTGTCCCCATTTTGGGGGTCATCCATTTGTGAAGAAATGCCTAAAAAAATGCTGCTAGGAGCAGCAGGAGTCAAGCATTTGAGATTGATAATTGAATAATGCTTCACATAAGCTATAGGGGTCAGAACTATACTTGAAGGCCCAATGCAACACTCCTTTACCAGTTAGAGGGGCTGGAGCTACTGCCAGTGCCTGAGTTAAGGATGGCAAAGTCTTTCATGGGATAAACTGGCAGGAGCACAATATATATGCAGGCTACTCCAAAAGTAATGCCTCCAATTTATTTTCAGGGAAACTACAACAGGTAGAAAGAGCACAGTAACTAATTGATAGAGCAAATTCTCGTCTACAAAACACGGGTTTTCAACACAGCCACCACCATTAGCTGTGCATTTTTGCCAGTGATGAACAGGAGCCTGTATGCTGCACTTGTATAAGTCTATACCAGAGGAGATGCCCACTGTCGTTATTGCCACAGCTGAAACACACCACTCACTACCTTGCTGTGCTCACAACCACTGTTGGTGTCCATAAATGTTCAGCAGGCAAGCACGAACTGCCATGTCAGACAACATTCTGTCAGACTGCCCCTCTGCTGCCATCTGTCCGACAGCAACAACATGTAATGGAATATTGGTGGGAAGGTTCAGCCTTTAATTCCATATCACCACCATCTGCCTTTGACATCATGAGCCAACACAATAAAATAGGAGGCATTCTTTTGGAGCAGCCCTCCAAATGAGGCATTGAGCTCCAAATGTTTCTGCTTCTCTCTGCAGAGTCACCATAGGTACATCACCTCTTTTAACCTTGGAAGGGTTATATCCTTGCAACACAGCTTTCTCTTGAGCATGACAGGAGTGTGGAAAATAACTATAAAGATTAGCTAGTGAATAGCACATCTTGTATCCTTGTGGTTTAGGAAAAAAAACTTTGTAATGGAAACAGAGCTATGTGTGAGGTGAATTTTGGTTCTGCTACGTCCTTCTATATGTTGTCAGAGGAAGAAGAAGAAAACCAAACTTCAAGATACTTAAATAAGTGCCATTCAGGTTTAAATAAATGAAACAAAACAAAAAACCAAAAAACTTATTTGCTTACTTTAGGATTTTGTAGTGAATTAAAGACAAAGTAACTGGAGGCCAATTATTCACATTAAGAAACATTAAGAAACAGTTTACTCAGCAAGGGACTCTCTCTTGGAAACAGCTCCTGTTAGAGGCTTCAGGGCTCCCACACTTAACATGAGGAGAGAAAAAGCTGCTCACCTGCTGACCACATGTCACCCTGCCTGGCTACAAAATGTCTTTGATATACCACTTCACCTTCAAAATTTCTAATAATGGCTCCCCAAAACAACAAAACCAACAGACTTTTGCAATTGGCTGAACTGGTGGGAATACTGCACTTCGCTATGCTCCTGGCATTGTCTGGCCTCCCCTCACCCTTCCTTTGAATCTCCTTCACTGGATTTGTAGTTAAGTCACCAAATCACTCTCAGACCGACCTCCTGCTGTTGTCAGCCTGATGGGGTCCGTGGTATTAATAGCTGAGAGCAGTATCTCCTACCACTTCACAGCAACCCCAGCAGATGTTGAACCAGCCCTGCTTAACAACACTTACTGGTTGAAAGCATATAAAACACTGAACATGTGTTCATGATCAAGTGAGAGCTATTTGTCATCCTATGGCATGTTGCTGCCTCATCAGATGGCCTTGCTCTGAGCCCAGGGACTTTCACATGCTGGGATTAATACATTGGCTGTTCAGCCATAATAATGTGTAAATACTAATTTGTTACTACTGGTTTCTGTGTTTTAAGTCAGCACAAGTTACACGAACACATTTGTGCAAGTGAAAACATGATTTTCCTCATTGTATCCTGTGATACGAGGGCTGCTCCAAAAGTAATGTCTTCTATTTTATCACATTGGCGCTTGACATCAGAGGGGGATGGTGGTGGTGCAGCAGCAGAGGTTGAATCCCTCCACCACCATTCCATTCCATTTTGTTGCCATGTGACAGCTGGCAGCAGAAGGGCATCTGACAGAATGGCATCTGTCATGGAAGTGCATGTGAAATAAATGTGTGTCATAGAATTCATTCAAGTGGTAAAGTTCGCACCCACTGACATTTGTAGACCTTTGCTGAACATTTATGGAAACCAAACAATGGATGTCAGCACAGTGAAGTCATGGGTGGAGTGCTTCAGCAGTGGTGACAGTGACAGTGATCACATCCATTGGTGCAGAACTTTATGAGTGAGGCATGTAGGCTCTTATTCAATGCTGGCAAAAATGTAGCTAATGGTGGTGACTATGTTGAAAACTAGTGTTTTGCAGCTGAGAATTTGCTCTATCATATAGTGTTATTGTTCTCTCAATATCTGTTACAATTTTCACGGAAACAAATAGGAAACATTACTTTTTCAGTGACCTATGTATTTATTGATTTTGTATTGCTTTCCATAGGTGTTAGTTTGTGCTGTCTAGAGCACAAAATATATAGCTATTACTTAGCAATTAGCAAAGAAGTTGGCTGTGGTATGTCTTTGGCTCAGCATTTCTCTTGACATTTCTTGCCCTGGTGTTCATAATGCTGGATATGCTTCCCCCTTGTCTCTAATATGCCAGGCATACGTATCTTATTCTGAAACTGGAATTCCTGCATTATTCTATGTGATGTATCATGCCCTATGTACCATGGGTAAACAGTGTTTGAGCCAACTTGTGTAGAGGGTTTCTATCTATTTTGCTAATATTTCTTCTGTCTCACTTGCTAGGCATGTGTGTGACTAGCTGCAGTACCCTCTGAGTTTCCATATTGCTGATCTCATTGCAGTTAACTGCTTCTCTGATCACTGTTATGCTCCTTGTCTGTCTCTGAGCTTCGCACTTCATCTGACCTGATGGAACCTGTGCTCTGTGAACTGTTGGGTTCACCCTTTAATTTTAGCTAGTAAGCAAAAGCATGGACACAGCTGTGAGCTATCTGCTCTCAGTGACCCTGCACAAGCAGAGCACCTAGATGACATAGCCTCGGCTCATCTCTGATGCTCGCAAGACAAACCATGTCAAATCTTAGCTGGTCAACATTTGTCTTGACAAGACTTTTCAAGAACTGGTTCCTGTGAAAGACAAAAAAATACAAAACAAAACAAACAAAAAATAAAAATAATAATAAAAAAAAACAAACCATGCTACACCTCGGGGTATGACAGAACCCAGAAAAATCAAAGGATTATTTATGTCTGTGGTGTCAGTGCTCTTAACATTACTTCCAGTTTGGGGCCCACTGACACAGTCTCCAGTTCCACCTCTCACAGACAGTCCTCACTGCTACAGTTTCTCATCTACTTTTGCCTTTAGGACTGCTTTGACTTTCATTTCTGTTCCTCTTTTACTTCCATATCCTTGTTCCCTCCCCTGTGCAAAGCACACAGAGCCTTCCCGCAGGCTCGAAGAGTAAATGCAACTCAAAGTGATAGAATCATAGAATCACAGAATCATAGAATCCTAGAATGGCCTGGGTTAAAAAGGACCACAATGATCATCTGGTTTCAAGCCCCCTGCTATGTGCAGGGTCGCCAACCACCAGGCCAGGCTGTCATAGCTTAATTTAAAAATTGTGACACTGCTTAAGCATTCTTTGAAAATCTGAAAAAGCCTCCCTGAAAACAGGGCCTCACCAAGTAAATAATATTTTCTGGGCTGGTCAAGATGTGTGATTGATCTAAAGAGATTACTGTTAAGACTTACACTGCTAACTGAGTAATGAGCCTTCATCTAATCAGACATTCCACACATTCGCTATCAATGTACTATCTGTGTTAAGTGATTAGCACAGCCTCAGTGAGGGCAGCTTCAGTGATGTTTGTACATTTAAGCAGTTAACTTTTTTTGAGACTGTGCTTTCCTTGTAATTAAATTTGAAAATAAAAACAAGCATCAGTGAACTCAGTGGCAAGTCTCCCACCAGCTTAATTGGCATCAGAATTCTCTGTGTGTTTGAAATAATTGCAGCTTTCTAAATCCTTATTTAAAGGATTATTGCTTGAGTAAGTCTTTTACGGTTATGACCAATGTGGACATTAATAAAGGGTGATGAAAATCTCAGTTACAAAGAGAAAAAGGCTGAAAACCATGAAATCTGTACACAAATCCAGTTTTATTTCAGTTACCTGAAAGGACTTCAGTAGCAGAACACAGAACACTTTGGAAACTGGACATCAGTTGTGTTAAGTATGATTAGTCTTATTAAAACCCCAAATCTCTGCCCAGTTTTGAAAATCATTGTGCATGAAGCATTTTGCTGCTCCTATTTAAAACAAGATCCAACAAATGAAATTGTAAAAAAAAAAAAAAAAAAAAAAAAAAAAAGTAAAAAATGCACAAAACTATCAAATGGCTTAGATCATTAAAGCCTGAAAGAGCTAATAAAAAAAGAAAAAAAATCTGCTAATTGTATCTAGTGTACTACTCATAGGTACAAGTGACTGGAAGCTTACAAGTGTACATGGTTATTAATTACACTGAGAATTTACATACATCTAGGCCTATTACGTAGTGTCAGATGATGTTTAAAACCCTATTTCTGATACTCTCAGTGTGCTAACAGAAGCAGAATCAAAAGGAGGCTAGAATCAGAAAACAAACTACATAATTCTGACTTGGCAGTAGCCCAAGGAAAGGCATCTAACCTCTGAAGTAGTTGATGGCACTAGCTGGCTTAGTGTCCCATGATCACCATTCACTCAGGGAAAATGGGGGTTTGCTGGAAGCTGCCCTAGTGTATGTCTACACACAAAGTATACAAAGAGCCACATGAGTCTTCTGTCCCTGGTTCAACATTCAGCAGGTCTTGTGCAAACGCGTGCTGGTGCTCCTCAGTTGTTCTCCTGTGGCATTGCCATGGCCTGCAAGTGAAAAGGACACGTTGCTGTTTTAAGGAAAGAGGCACTGACTGTCCTTGTTCATGGTGTGCTAGTTCTCAGTAATGCTCGCAAGGCATTCCACACGTTTTATAGAGGGTGCTGTGAACATGATCAAAGCAGTCTTGTCAGCCATCAGCTCTGAGTGTGACCACAAACAAGCCCTTGGCCAAAGAGGCAGCTGAAGGGAACAGACCCCTCAGGCCTGAGCTCACAGCGGTCTGATGAAAGTGGGAAGTCCAGCCTGAATGGCAGGCTGTAGTGAGAAACTGCCCTCCCCAGTAAGACCAGTGGCAACAAGAAGTGCTGGTGTGCTTTGGAACTGAAGGCACTCCCGGCTTTACCTCAGGGAACTTTCACATCAGAACTCTTACAGTTTGTACCCAGACTGTTGACTGTAACTTCCATGGGCAAGGCCATGGTAGCATAACAACATGCTATTTTAATTATTAGACCTACATAACTTATTTACCTGCAGAATTTACTGCAGAATTAATGAATTGAAACTCCAGTATAGTTAGAAAACTCTAGAGATTTACCTGAGTGTTTTACTTGCAGAAAATGGGAAGCACTGAATGTGCTTTGGTTAGGCAGATTTCACTAGGAAAAGACACATATGTGTGCTTCACATTACACTCTCTGTATTTTTAAATGATAGTTCTCTTCCTTTTGTGTGTCCTTTTGAGATACGGTAAGCAGAAGGAAGCCTGAGTTTCCACCGAGCTTTCCAGAAACCCTCACCCTGGCCAGAAGGCTTTGGTAGCATGAGGTAACTTCAGATGACTGGGTGGCCCAGCCCAGGCACTGCTTTTCCCCTTGCTTGAATTTCATTTACAGAAACTCATGGAAAAGACCCAGTGACTAAGATTTACCTCTGTCCAGCAAGCCAGATCCAATTCCCAACAAAGATATAGGCATTGTCAATTGGTTATAGATCAAGAGTACCAAACAGTCCAAGACTAGTTTTGCTTGTTATCTTACATTTTTCATGTTCAATAAACACTTAAAACAAAAAGGAAGCAAGCAAATACCAAACTCCCATATTAATTTTATTAAACATTTTTCCACATAATTTTCCCTAGAAATCTGAATTAAAATTTTGGGTTTACTTTCTCAAAGACCTTTCAAAACTGGGAGTATTAAAGTTTATGTTTTAGCCATTTGGTAAAGTAATCATATAATGTGACAAGCTTCAAATAATTGACATTGTTCTCACTGATTACATAAAAATTCAACAAGATCTTACTTTGGGCTCACTCTATTAAACTACTGAATTTCTGGCTTCTATGAAGGGTGAAATTGTTCTGTAACTAAAAGAACACAGTCATTGAACTTTCTGTATGACTGACCAATAAGAATCTCTTTTTCTCTCCTTGTAAGAGGTTTGGTTTCCCATGCATGGAATAGTGCTAGAAGAAGCCCTAATAAGCTCTCCCAGATGTCCTAGCATGGTCTTCTGAAGCTGATGTTAACATTTCTGTTCTACCCAAATACAACCTCATGTAGTTGCTTAAAAATGCAGGCAACAGCCAATCAGCCAACTCTTTCTCAAATCATACTTTTTCCATTTCAAAGTTTCAATTTTGAAGAATTATATTCAATTTATTAAAAAATGCTTCAGTTCACTGTAAGTTATGAGGCTTAAAACATCTGACTTGAAAACTGATGCTTTTTGGCAGAACAGTTTATACAGGAAATGTTACACATGACTTAAACTGGCTAAAATGATCTGGCCACTTCGCTGTTTTCCATTGACTAGGTTGCATTTACCATCATTTGCTGCCTGAAGGCATGCAGCTAAGGGCCAAATTCTCATTTCTCAGCACAGAACCTATCTCCTTCTGACCAAAGGAAGGTAGGCTGTTTCAGCACTCACACAAATTGGCCAACTGTGTCCACAGGAAAGGGGAAATGAGGTTGTGGGCTGAACAGCCAAATCCAGTGTCATCACCCACATGTAGCAAGTCCTCAGACTTGGTTTTCCCATTTATAAAATACAAGGCTGTGTTACCATACTCTCTTACAAAGCAGAGAACTGCACACCAGTGAGGTGCTAACAGAAAAATTGAGTGGTTTTTGGAATCAGGCTTTATGCTGATGCCAGGCATGAGAATCCTGGGAGCTCCTGCTTGAGCTGGGCAGGTCCACTGCTCCCACATGTGGGGGCAAGAGTGCAGCCCTCAGCCCCAGCTCTGTGCTCAGAGCTGAGAGCTGCTGGGGAGCGTACTGCCTCCTACTTACACAGTGAGTCCTTTCTCCAAACTGGCTGTAGAAGGTCATCTTGACTTTGTGCTTGTGCCCCGTCCTCTGGTCAAAGGTGTTGCAGCTGTCAAAGGGCGGGCTGTACAAATGCAGGCTGACAGCAGTCTCTGTGTGGCTGATGTTCTCCACACGGTGCAGGCCAATTGAGTCTACACAAGTTGTGGCACGAAACAAGAAGTTGAGTTAACAGGCAGATTTACTGAGATCTCAAATGTCTGGGAAAAAAAAAAAGTTATCTAAACTTAAACTAGTGAGCAAGCCAGTTAGGCATTTGTGCACTTTTAAGGGCAACACATAACTGAGTGCAGGGAATCTGACTGCTGATCTCCAGCACAGGTTCCTAAACACTTCAAATCACCTTACAGCCCTTTCACACCTCCTATAATGCTGGATTATCTGCTACTGGCTGAGGGCCAGTAGGAATTCAGAAAAGCCTGAGGACAGCCATACTTTCAGTTATTTTCAAGCAAGCATTTCTGAAGAGCTCAAGGTCATTTACTTTCCTCAGAGATGCTGTCCCCTAGAAGCAGGAAAGTTCTTGTTTCTTAAAAACATCAAGATGTTCTATAGGGAGGAAGTTTTTCTATTACTAATCCTTAGTCCAGTTAACAAGGACGTCAGTCATGTTAACAGTTAGCTACTTGTATCTGGGGCAGAGACATAGTTATCTTCTGTTGGAGGCATCTTTTTACTAATTAATCTTTCCAATGTGTTTCTCGGAGCACAACAGCCTTCTCATTTGTCTGATCTTTTGAATAAGGTGACAAATTACTAGTGACTGGCACACTTCCAACCTTAGCTGAATAGCAAGCACAATTGAACTTGTAATAAAACAAGGCACTGTCTGTTGTGTGGCTACTAACAAAGTAATGGTGCCTGCTGGAGCAATGGAGTAGAAATCAAGCAGTCATGAAAATGTAAGGTATGAAGAATCACATCCACCCCCCAAGAGAACATTTCCACTCTACAATAAATTTGAGGGTTTGAGTTGTGTAGAAGAGACCTTGTATTCATGACCCTGCTGTAGAAACAATTCAGGCTGTTGTACCTGCACTAATTTGTTATATAACACCTACAGTGGTATTGCACAATGTTGGCATATTACTTTGTAAATCCTATGGACACTTTTAACTTTGGTACATTGCAAGTGTAAGCTCCAGGTGTCATTACCATAATTTATTTAGAGGATGTGCAGTCCTAATTCTGTGCTCATGTAATAGAAGATTTCAACTCAGCTGAGTGGATTTTAACCTCAAAGGAAAGTACAACAGTAGCCAAGAAGCATGCAATGAAAACATGAAGAACATTGAAGTATTTAAGGTAATCAACACACTGCCAGTGTTTTCCTTCTAGTTGTTTTTTATCTATCCGCTTTATTAGTCATCTATTTTTAAAGCAAACTGTCAGACAGGAAACACGTCAGAGATCCAAACTGGCCCAGAGAAGAAAATTTCAAATTTGTTTTAAACAATAGAGAAAGTTTGGATTAGTTGCACATGGAGTATAACTCTTTGCAAGGGAAATAATTGCATAGTGAGGAAGATCTACACAAGCATGAGAACCCCTTGGCAGCAGTGTGGGGGCAACCCTTTCATCAGCAGACATGTCAAGCTCCTGTCTACATTTCCTGCCCTGTGGATTTTGTGATTTCAGTTAACACAACATACCTTCAACAAAGAGCTGCAGAGTCCTGCTCTTGCTTCCTCCATGCTTAATACACAACTAAATATGAGACTCTGCTAAGGAGCTTGAGGTCTCAGCCCCACCAGGTGCATGCTCCAGTTTCTAAGCCATCACACAGAAGGCAGATGCCCCCCTTCTTCAGGGCTTTGCCACTGCTTAGCAGTACTCACTGCCCTTCAACATGATGTATTCATAGGATCAGACCATGATAACCAGCTGGTCGCTACCAAATGGCCTCCAGCACAGCACAACATGGTGATAACTATGGGTATGCACAGTGGCACAGCTTTAAGTATCTAGGCAACCATACTGCTGGAGACTTGGTTGTTTCTCAGTACTTGTGAGATGAGGCAGTTGTTTTGTAAACTGAAATGCTCAAGTCTGCCCAGTTGTGCTGACGCTGCACTTCAGCACTATGCTCTCCTGATGGTTTGGACAATAAACCTGGGGATCAGGGCCTTTGCTTCTGCCTGCTCCATGTACTCCATCAACAGCTTTTGTATTTTTTGTCCCAAGATTTCCACTGCTTACCAAAAGGATTACTTCTTTGGAAAAAAATAAAAAGATGAAGATGATTGAACTGTCAAAACTTTAGTTCCCTTATTTCTCATGAAAGCTCTAAGTTTATAATTTCAGATATCTGTTTGGGACATAGCTGATTGGAGTAGAGCAGCTATCTAGCACATCTAAGGATCAAGCAATTGTTGCAATGACTTATGAAGGACTATTTTGTTGTTTTACTGAATGTAAATGTGCGGTTTGTGCAGAATCTAAAGATCCCTGTTCTTTGACAATCATGCAAGATGCTATAATCATCATACTATTAGGTGCAGGACACTATTTAGAGAGCACACAAACTCTTTTGTTAGAAATGGGACTCAAGGATAAATAGTTGTCAAACAAGCTAATAGAAGAGCTTACCATTAATATAGGCACATTGATTCTCTCTCAAAACTCTCTCTGATTTCTTAGTCATTTCACCATTCCCTTTTTTCTCAGGCCATTCAAACAGAGTCTCCTTTAGATTTCCCTGGAGAATCTTCATAAAGCAGTGTGAATCAGTGTGGTCATGGATGCTGCTACATATGTGAAAAGAATAACCAAACTCAGAAGGATATGCATATTTAAGTACTGAACAGATGGCACAACATATAGTATATCTGGATGTAGCCTTAGACTTATATGCAATTGCACATGGGTCCTGCACAGTGATCTTAGGAAAAAAGAAAAGAACAACAACGCAAGGATATCCAGAGGCACTAGGATATGCCTACTTAAAAACAACCTGTTAGAACCGCACTGGGATAATTTTACATGTAGCAGGATTTAGGGAAAAGTCAGATACTGGTCAACATGTGACCTCACCAGGGAAAAATACAAAGGAAGTCTAAGAAGGACGGAAAAAAACCTCTTCAGAACAGCAACTCCTGTGGGCCAAGAAACAGAACAATGCTTTCCACAGTGATCTCCAGGCAGAGGCCAGAATAAACTTGCAAATACATCTGATATTTGCAGATTCACCATGTTCCCTCCCAAAACATGGGATAAATTAGTGACTGCTACTTAATTTCTATGGATTCTTTACTGTTGGGGTGCACAGGCACTTACTGAATAAAGAAAACAGTGTACTTCTTACTCTGATAAGTACAATCAGCCATAGTAACCTGTGAATTTCACTGGTATGGCAAAAATGAACAAAAACAGCAGGATTTGGCACAGTCTGTGTGTTTGCTTGGTCTGTCTCCTTGCTCAGAACTATGCTTTATTTGCAACAATTGGAGATAAGTGGGCTGGATTTTATTTGTTTTTCATTTATTTTTTTTTTAATAGAGAACTAACTGTTAAGGCAGCCAGCAGACTGGGACAAAGGGAGAGGTCTCTGTTCACTGGGTTGATGGAGGAAAGGGGAATTTGGTCCCCTCTGAAGCATATTCCTATTAAGTTTCAAACAAAAACTTGGTATTTGTACATTACTGTTTTCAATATACAAACTTCTTTAAAGCTTTTATTTCTTCAATAAACGAATTAGCTTCCCTACAAAGTGAGATGTCAAGAAGGCAGAGCTTACTTCAGGCATAGAGCACTTAACAAATGACACATTGTCACAGTCCTTCCACAAGCCATGAGAACAACTTGATCCTCCTCACATAGGAAGCAGAAATCTGCTTGTGGTCTCTGTCTAGCTCTAATAAATGTTTATTCAACTCAAACAGAGTTTGACATAAATCACAGCCTTTGTGAGAACAGCCCAGAAGGAGCAGTAGTGGTGGACTTGATTCTTACATTTCTCTGGGTATAACTTCAAGGCATCCAGTAGAGAATACCATAAAAGTTCGCTATGCATGCTTGATAAAAACAAACAAAAACCTCATCCTCACAGCTCCCTAGATTTTCTATTTATATAAAAGGCCAAGCAGCCAAAACCTGCAAGTTTTGTTATTTTATGTTGTGTTTTGGCCAATGTTTTGTGAAGGACCCTCCATGGGACAGGTTCTCTCTTCAGGTTGTAGGACCACACAGCTCACAGGGAAGAGGTGGGATGAGCCCACGGATCAGAATTCTCACCCAGATGTACTTTTATTGTCGTGTGGCAGAGACTAGATTGAAACAATACAGGAAAGCAAAGGCTGCTTAAACTGGACCAAACCCTGCTTCTGCAGCAAAGTGAGGCAGATCTCTCAGAACCAGCAGGGTCCATCCAACCTGCCCTACCCACACAACCCACTGCAGTATGGGATTAAAAATGTCTTCAGATGGAAAGGGAGCTTAATTTGGCTAGAGTATTTATCCTAAATACTCTAAAAATGTCCATGAGGTAGAGCCTCACAAAAACTAAATAAACAACCAAGTATTCAGGACTGCTATCCAAAGTGAATAATGATCAGTTCTGTACTGCTCAGTTTCCAGGTATTTTTTAACAGCTTGTATAAGGCTGATTATTTTCCTCTTCTCATTTAACAGCGAAAAATACAGTAGCTTTATATCTGTTTGCTAAAGCCATAATCTTTGAATACGAACCTGCCATGTCCTTCACCCCAGCACAAGATCATCAAGTTGAACTTTCCATTTCCATTGTCCACAAGATTTCTTGTGTATCTGCAATATAAAGTGTTTGCTTTTCTAACTGTACTGATATGCTCATGAAAGACAAAATTATATAAACATTGCTATACAAGCAAGCTGCAACATAAAAATCTTGTTATTGAAAGAAAAGTTTTACTTGGAAAAAGTGAAGTTGAACTTTAAAGCTGTTTTTGTGAAAGTACTTTTTCCTCAGAAGGTAAAAATTGGACATAGTTAATATTTAACAGTCATATTGCTTTTGAATTACATGGATAGATCAGGGTTTGGGAACTGTGAGTCTAAGACTAGAGTGGTAGACGGGATCAAATCAAAATAGTTATTGAATGAAATCACTCCAGCAGCTGGCTTATAATTAGAAACAGAAGACTGCTATGAAATAAGAAAAATACATGGTAACATCATTCTACAGCTATTTTTTGGATATTCTTGGCTCTTTCTCGTTACACAGCATTCATTTGTACTAGGCCAAAAAACAAAGAAAAGAAAAGAAAAGAAAAGAAAAGAAAAGAAAAGAAAAGAAAAGAAAAGAAAAGAAAAGAAAAGAAAAGAAAAGAAAAGAAAAGAAAAGAAAAGAAAAGAAAAGAAAAGAAAAGAAAAGAAAAGAAAAGAAAAGAAAAGAAAAGAAAAAGGAGATGTCAGGTTTTCACTTAGAACTTTCAGGACAAGAGTATATACCTCATACCATAGTGTTCTTGTGCTTAGACCCATACCAACAGGTCTAATTTCTGCCAGCATTTTGCTAGCTTAAAGGTAGAAGACAAAATACTTGCTTTCAAAAGCTTTGCAATCAATGTGTATTCTAGAAAGTTATTTGCTCTTGAGGTTTGAGGGGGTTTTCTGAACAGCCACACACTGGTTTCCTTGCACCCCTGGCATGCCTTTCCCACTCACCACATGCTGCTGAGAAGTTCCCTACAGAAGTTCTCTCCTTTCTCTTTGCCCAGTAAATTGTGTGCCATACTGTGGCTCTAATGATTCAAGGCTCATGCCTCTAGCTGTTACAGTGCAAATCACCCACTGATTCTGTCTTAGCTTTAGTCATGATTATTAGCACATTGCCAAATACATCAAATTTATGCCCTTTAGAGATGCCTTGCTTTTATCTAAATGATGCAAGCACAGACACACAGAAACTACCTGATAACAACTGATTCTGTAATAGTTCTTCTTAATCCCACTTCATTGCAATGAAGAGGGGAAGCAGATCACATTCAAAGCATAACACTTATGCCGATATGCTGCCTTTCAGCACTCACAATCTTTGTGTGCTTTAGATAGGCATAATTTCTCCTACTATGTCAGAGCACAAGCAATCAATGTTGGCAATGGAATGGACTCTTCAAGTGCTGTTATTTCAGTCAGCAGGTCAGGCTGCCAGGCATGCTGGCATTAGAAAGATTTCTAATCCTTACTTTTCTTAACTCTGTGATTTGTCCCAAACAGAGAAAACACGAGATGAAGAAAGGTTAAAAAAACCCAGACCGGTATGACGCTTCCACAACAGCGAGGTCAAAAGGAAGAGCCCCTTCGCTCTGCAAGCTTCAAGGCAGATGCTCAAATAAAATCCATCTATTTTTAAATGTAAGAGAAGAGAGCCACCAGCGGCAGGATCAGCCCAGCTGTCGGCGCAGCGGACCGAAGCGCCCGCTAACCGCGCCGTCCCCCGGGGACGCAGCGCAGAGCTTGCCCCGCGGAGCTCCGGAGCAAAACCCCCCGCCCCCCGCTACATCCCCGCGCCCTCCAGGCCCACGGGGGCCCTGGCCGGGGCTGCCTCCATTGGCCGCCGCCGCCCCGCCCGCTCTCCGCCCCGGCTCGGCCCTCCGGGGGCACGACGAGGACCACCGCGCCCAGGTCGGGATGCCGACCCGAGCCCGGCGTGCCGCCCGGAGAGACTGTGGCGGGGGTCGGCAGGGCGAGGGTCGCGGCGGGACCCCCGCTCGCCTACCTGTACTGATCGAACTGGGCGTACTGCAGCCACTCGTCGGGGTTGCTCTCGTAGGACTCCATCAGCGCCTGCACCTCCTCCACGCTGACTTTGTCCTCAGCGAAAAGCCGGTGGAGGATGCGGACCAGCTCCTCCAGGCTCCCCGCCTTCCACATCTCCGTCTGCACCGGCTGCTCCATCGCCGGTCACCGTCCGCCGCGCTGCCGTGCCCGGCTCCGCCGCCCGCTTTTATGTGCCGGGAGGCACGGCGGGAGCTGCCACCGCCCCGGCGGGCGGAGGGGCCGGGCGGCGACGGGCGGGACCGCGGCCAGGCCTGCCCGGCCCTGCGGCGGCACAGACACCGGCGGGCGGGGCTCGGATCCCTGCCGCCGCGAGCCCCTCGGCCGGGGACGGCCGTGCAGCCGGAGCTGCCGCCGAGGGAGGAGGCGGTGGTTGCAGGCCGTGAGGTTTGAAAGAACTTGAATCTGTGCGTTGCAACCAGGAGACTCTGCTAATGATAGCAACGGCCGCTGCGTGGCTAAACGAAAAGCATCCTTTCTTTTCAGCTGAAGAACAGGCGAAGAACGAGCACATCGCTTCCCTCGGTGGGATGTTCAGTGCTTGGTGATGTCCAGGTATTTAAATACAGGAAAAAACACTGTGCTTCCACTGTTAATTTCAGAGACTTCAGAACTTTGATTCGTTTGCCACAGCGTTGATGGCATCGTTAGAGATGCCTTTAGATGCAAAAGGAGGGGCACTTCGTACTTTCTTGTGTTACAGCTGAGGGGTCAAATTGGATTTACTTACTGCAGTTTCACTCTGCAGCTTACTTATAAAGCTGCAAACGTGAATTCTTTCAGAGTTTTTTTCTTTAACTTCATTACAAGATTAATATTTTTCTAGTATACTCCTCCTCTGTTCTCCTCCCTTTTGTTCATATTCACATCTATTCACAAATATTTTCATTTTGAATATTTCAACATGAGGTGTTAATCCTGAAAACCTCTGAAGAAGTTCATTAATTGACTACATGAAAATCATTAGGACCAATGGTTATGGATTTTTACTCACTGCACTGACAGAGATGGCACAAGGTTCTGAGCTCATATACAGCAGTCGATGCTGTGTATAACCTCAGTCACTGAGGCTATCTGCCAATGACAAACCAAATAGAGTGTTGCAATCCACACAGAAACTGGAGTTGTCCTCACGTTAGTTGCCTTTTTCTGAAAAAGTATATGGCATTATTCCCATTTCTTTTCATTTCTTAAAATCATCAGTTTATACTCCCATAGAAATTAATTAACACACATGTTCCTCAACTATTCACTGGAATAGTGCTCGTCCGTAGGAGGCTTTATTCCATCAAATGTAATGGATGTTGTAGCTTTAAATTTTAAAACAAAAAGCATATGTCCATTTTAAGACTGGCTACTTGAAGCTAGTTTGAAAAGGATATCCAAAGCTACTGAGGCCAACAGCATGGTTGTTTTTGTTTTGTTCCTCTGAAAGATGAGCCCTTTTCCTTTGCTTAACAGTGGCACTCAGTGGTATTTCTCACAGGACACACATAAACACGTTTGGTGCTGCTGAATCTGTGTGATTCTATGGCACCCACAGGATGCCAGCACCTCTATCTGAAAGGTATGCAGATATCAGAGTGGGCATGTACGCTTTGGGCTGGAGCAAGAGCAAGCAAGGGAAGAAGTACAAAGGTCTGAGGATTTTTTTTTTCTGTATTTCACATGTCGTCCTTGTGAAAAGCAAAAGGTTCACGCAAACAGTGAATCATTTTTGCACTTGTTATGACATGACTTCACTGAGAGGCACAGAGGAAAACAGTAAACTATTCCTGCTGATGGTTAGAACTCTGCCTTTGACAATGGGAGGTTAGGCTATAATCACAGAAACACTGCTTCATGGACAAATGCCTAACCACTCAGCTCTTACCAAGGACAGGTGTAGGCACTATGAGCAGTCATTGGATGTGATATCCTACACCAAATGAGACACCAGTTTATTATCCAAGTAGATATTGGCAGCCCACCTCTTCTGGCTGGGCAGCTCACAGGTTTTTGTTGTTGTTATTTTTTGTTTTCCCCCTGACTCATATAGAAATATCTTTGATTACTACTGATGGAATTTATGAATCCCAGCATCAGAAAATTTATACTATGTGTTGGATCTGAAGACATAGCTTGGGACTGAATAATTTATGATCCATTCCACATTTCAGATAAAATCTGAGGGCAAGGTGAAAGCGGGATCCAAGGTGCCTGAATCTTCAGACCACTGCAGCAAACAATGATACTGTGCTTATTCACTCTGTTCTGTTAGCCTGGAAAGATAACAGGACTTCAACCCAGTAAACAGAGTTCACATCTCCTCCATGTAATGAGACTACAACCATATGTTCGTTGCTATTAGGTCTCTGCTGACCTTAGTTTCTTTGCTTCTGCTGAGCGGTAGGAGAAAGTTAGGACCTATAGCTGTAGTGCATGCGCAAGGCATTGCAGGCTTTAGTGCTATGTGTCTCAGTGGCAGCAGCTCTCTAAGAAGGATTAAGAGAACAGAGTGTTTGGTCACAAGTCAGTAATAGAGACAAAAGGTTTATAATCTTCCCCAGCGATACTTGCCTCACTTGCCTCAATACATCGCATTTACAGACCCAAAGATTTACAGTATGGTTGCTACCTTTTTCCTTACCTTTGAGTGAATTTAAAGACTGTGCCCTGCATCTGAAACCTCAAGTGACTCAGCCTATGACACCGGTCCCTTTTATTCCACATGAACTCTTGGATAGATGCAATTTGTACAGAAGATACCTTTTGGATTAGAACCAAGAGGAAACGTAAGCAAATATTCATTGCAAATGTCATTCAAATTGGCATTTGGAAATATATAACAGTATGCCATCTAAAACAGCAGTTCCAAACTCTGATCTGGAAGACAAAGCAAAATGATGAGATACATCCAGATGGGCTGGGCCATACTGGGGCTATGAAACAACACTACAGACATAACCTGGCGAGACTGATCCTGCAGTGTGCAGCAGGCTTGCTATGAGAATCTGCGGCTTGCAAAACGATTCACTAAAGGAGCTTGAGAATAAGTCATACCATACATCATGCAGTGAAGTGTAATCAGGCTACAAAACACAGTGATCAGTGAGTGAAATGAGTGCAGTATACACAAAGTCTTGCCAACACATGGGTCACTGCTAAGCAGTGTGTGTGTTGCTGGATGAGGGAAAATGCATGGGAGAGCAGCACAGCATAAGCCATACAGGCTCCTAAAATAAGTAGTTTGATCCAATTTTAGTGTGTGTGGTTGGTGTGCTGCTTGAAATGTGTCTATGGTGGAAACAAAATATAAAAGACTGACACCCATACCCTCTCCGTGTGAGAACCAATTTAAAGTACACTCCTGTTTCTTTAGATTTCCAGTACTTAACTGAGAAAGCTAAATAAAGTCCTGCCTAGACTTCTCTGCACTGATGGTATTTATTGTGCAGTTTTGTTTGGATCCATTCTCTTTTGTGAGGTTTCCTGTTTCAGAGCTGGAGAGCTCTTAATGCATTTCAATTCCTGAGAGCTGCCAAGGTTCTGTTACCAAGCTGGGTTTGAGGGAAAGATATCTTTCTGCTCTAACTTCATATGGGGACTTTTGCAGCTGGAACAACTAACTGTAACCTCTTTGATTTTTTATTTTTATTTTTTTTTAAATGCTAAAGATTTCCATGCCATGATATTTTCACACTGTTGTCACATAGTCTGGTATATATACATAAATAATATGCAAACAAAACAGTTCCATGAGAAGATGTAGAGCAAGGACACAGACTCCTGCACTTTCCCCTAACTGTTATTATTTAACATTCATCGACTTTGCCTAGTAAGAAAAAGCATGATTAAATTGAGATAAGCAATTATTACTTCCCTCACCACTGTAATCTGCTCGCAAAAAAGAAGTTGCAGCATCTAGCTGTGAGTATGCATTTAGAGCAGGTATGCATGTGATAATTACAAGGAAGGAAAGCTGGAGAGCCATTTTTAAAAATATGTGAGGTTTTTTCTCAAGTTCAAAGAGGGACAATGTTTTTTTTTCCCATATTTATCCACATTTTTTTTTTTCCTCAATGTGGATACAGGGAAACCAATCTCACCTGTGTGAACTGTGGGACTGTGTATCCACCAGTAAATATGCCAACGACTGCCCTCTGGCAGAGGCCAGCCAGCAAAGAGCAGTTTACAGCCACCTTATTAACCTCTTAGCCCCCAGAACAGGCTGGCAACATGCTAACTACTTACTAGAAAAAGCAACTTGATAACCGACAAATTGCATGCATGCCAGAATCTGTGCCTGCAACTCTTCCACCAATTGACTGTACTGACAATGGAGCTTCAGTGCCTCAACAGTTTTCTGGCACCACTGACTCCAGTAACAAAGATGTGGTGTGACTGGTTTAATGCTAAGCTTCTAACTTACTCATTTTGGTGCTTTTTTAGTCAATATTGTAATTCATTCAACTTTCCTTAATGATTATTTTAGGGTGAAAAAAAATCCCTAATGAATTCTTGTCTCTCTGGTTAGCAAGGCATCAAGTCAAAGGTTTATCACAACTAAAGATGAGTGAGGAGCTTCTGGCACCTCATGGGTTTATAGCTGTTAAAGCAAGTGCAGACCAGGAACAAAAATAATAACTGGATATTGTGATACTTAATCTTGGGAGCATATTAAGTACAGTACTAGCAAAGCTGAAGTGTGATCTCAGAAAATAAGAGCAATCACATTCAACTTGCTTTGTTACAGATTTTCATTCTCTTGATAATCCAATAAAAAACAAAGCCAAAAAACATTTTTAAATATACATGGCTCTTTATAAAAGGTATCATAAAGTAATAATCATCCTGCAAAACGCAGAGTCTGGAATTGAATCTAGCAAAGGTGGTAAAGGATAATAAAAAAGGCTTTTTTAAGTATGTTAACAGTAAAAGGAAGACTAGGGAGAATGTAGGTCCCCTACTAAGTGAGGGGGGTGTTCTGGTAACGGGGGATGCTGAGAAGGCGGAGATACTGAACGCCTTCTTTGCTTCTGTCTTCAGTGAAAAAGCTCCCCCTCGGGAATCCCAGGCCCTGGTGGTTAGTGAGAAGGTCTGGGGAATGGAAGACTTCCCTTTAGTCAGGGAAGAGGTGGTCCGAGAGCGCCTAGGCAACACCAATGTTCATAAATCCATGGGACTCGATGGGGTGCATCCACGGGTGCTG